CACACGCAACACACGTTTTTTAAATTAATTTTCAGGTAAGACAACTCTTTCTGTAACGAAATTATTATAAAAAAGAAGTATTTATGTTTCCTTCCCGACGTATATAATTCATTCCCTTGTGAAGTGATTGAATCTATTAATAAATTTTCAAAAAATAGAGTTTATTAGTAATTTAATAAAAAAATAACGCTCCTAGCGCACCCACGAAAATTGTACCCCGACCAAGATCAGGCGTACCGATTTTTTAAAGAAATCGCTTATGAAATTACTTTCAACTATCACTATGACAATAGTGAACTAAGCCCATGCTGCATATGCAGACAATGTTCTTGTAGCAAATAATATGAATTTGGCACCTAGTAGAAAACAAGTAAAAATGAGGTTTGTTTAGAAATGTATCTTATGCAAAGTAAATCTCATATATATATTCACATACCTTATGCAATTTGCATGATATATATGAATATATGCTAGATTACCTTGTGTAAAGTATATTTTTATATTTATTTATGTTAAATTCATTAAATTTTTTACTATATTTATGTTTTGTATACAAATATGCAGAAGCACCACATATAGAAATAACATTAGACAAGATATGTGTTTCTCTATAGATTACAAGATCCCTAAATTGCATGGAGAACTAAAAGGTTTAAGAGAAATTTTAAAGGAAAGAAATTTGTGGTGTGATGGAATGAAGTTGAAGTATAAAGGTGAATGTAAAGAAGAAAGTATGAATTGTTATACAAGAACAATAATAGTGAACTAACTGGATTTTAAAACACAGCACGGAAAACTTGAAGAAGCAATTATTTTTGCAGGCTATGAAGTTATATTTTATTTAAAATTTCATTGTGAGTTAAATTACATTAAAAATTTTGGTGGTAATACAAATAATTGTAGAATTTTATTAAATCAACTTCGAAAATATTCTGAAAATCTTTCTTCATATGATATGGAATATATTAATAATCATGATATATCTGAAATTTGGTGGTTAACTTGTAGACAAACTGATAATTATATTCAACAATTAGCATTAAAAATGTTTGCTATTGTTCCTCATCAAGCAGCATGTGAAAGAGTTTTTTCAGTATTAAATTGGATGATTGGAAAAAAAAGAACAAGGTATTATAAAATAATTTATTATATTATTTTAATTACAAAATAAAAATTTTAAAATATTAAAATTAATTATTATAAATATAATAATTATTTTAATATAATAAATATTTTTATTTTAATTATATTAAAAATTAATTATTTATAATTTAAAATATTTTA